AGGAGGAGGAGGAGGAGGAGGAGGAGGAAGGGGGAAGGCAAGGGGAAGGGGAAGGGGAAGGGGAAGAGGAAGGAGAGGAGCAGGAGAAAGAGCAAGAGAAAGAGAAGAAGCTCTGTTGGTAATGGTGGGAAAATTATTCATTGTGTTTTCTTAGCGCGTACAGAAGCTTTACTTTACCATGACTAAAAATTGTCCTTTTCTTTTCTGTTGTATAGAATAATATTTTACAGGAAAAAATGTGTGCTATGGAGGGGTTGCCACAAAAGCATAATTTTTCACACTGCTGCAGTAAGGTTGGTGCTGAAAGAAGACTCTGTTTCTTCTATAACAAGAAAGCTGATGTGGGATTTCTGCCTCCTTTCCCTACCCTGGATCCTGAAGAGAAATGCCAGTCTTATGAAAGTAACAGAGAATCCCTTCTAAATCAGTAAGTTTAATCTTAGTAAAAAATGATCCAATTGAAGAATTAGTCTTAGGCTGAATCTAATACCTATCTCAAATAAATATAGCTGGGTTCATTAATTTATTTATTGATTGTTTCATTCATTCAAAACACACTGTGTCAGATACTGTGCTCATTGTTTAGGATATAACTATGATCAAGATATGGACCCTGCTTTTAAGACCCTTATATTAATGAATTGTATCTTCTAATTGGCAAGTCCTAGAGGAGAGGTGTGTGCCTGGTGTTAAATTGGTAGGATGCACAGTGGAGGAAATAATAGGCTCTTCCCAAGGGGAAGTTGCAGTTTTCACCTCAGGCAGACATTCAATTATGGGATGTTTAGCAAAACATCTGTTTTTAATATAGTGCAGTCATTGCAGAAGCAATGACTTTTTCTGGAAGGTTGGTATGCTCCTTGAAATCTAAATCTAAATCACAAGTTTATCTGAACAAAAGTAAACAGGACCCCTGAATCTCAGATAGAGTGTGTATAGATAGCTGTTCTTTGAACATGGAAGAGAGAACTGCTGACCAGCTGGTAGCATGTGGATGGAAGGAGAATAGCCACAGCTCAGTGTTTGGGATTAGAATTGCAATCATCATTCCTACTTTGGAGTTAGCAACTTCAGTAAGGACTTCAAAAGACTCTTATTGGGAACTGGATAATGCTGCCTTATGTTGAAGTTTTCTATAACTGGAAACCTTTCTTCCTTTTTACCTTGTTTTACAACTTGTTCTTCTTGTCTCTTTCTGTTTTTTCGTTTCCTTCTCATCTTAACCTCCCCTCACTTCCCTTGTCTACATTCATTGCTTTCCTGTTTCTTCCCTTGCCCTTCTTCTCTCTTTTTTTCATTTTTAAAATAGTTTTTTATATGAAGTTGCCAGAAGGAACCCGTTTGTCTTCGCCCCTACACTTCTAACTGTTGCTGCTCATTTTGAGGAGGTGGCTAAATCATGTTGTGAAGAACAAAACAAAGTCAACTGCTTTCAAACAAGGGTGGGTATAGCATTTATTTCATTGAGGTAAGAAATCACTCAATTCCACAGATCCAGACCCTGACTTAGCAAAAGGCTTGCTTGCCATATATGATGTTCTCTTGTCACATTCAGTGATTTTCAAACCATTGGTCACCAGGTTCTGTTCTAAATATTCTCTTTACCTGAGACTCCCGAAAGACAGTCAGTCATTTCCAGGTTCTCTCTTGCTTTGTTTTCTTTGTAAATTGGAAGGAAGCCTTGGTGAGTGAATGTCAAGGGTGAAGGATGACATTTTATCTTTTATCTTTGACAATTTGTAGTCTGTTGACTACAAATAACATGGAATAATCTCAATAGAGATGGCCAAGCTCACAGCATGCTGCCCCACCAAGGGAGCACTATGCACCTTTTTACCAAGTGCAATTAATCGTCAGGAAGACTGGTCCTACCTTTATGATGTGCCGTAAGTGCATATTTCTTTTAATAATGTATTTACTGAAATAAAAATCTGTAGATTTTCTGTCTCTGAACAAATTTTGTAATAGTTTGAATGAAAAGTGACTAAAAAATAAGGGAATAGTGAGATTTTGCTATTGTTTCAAAAGAATTTTCTCTTTCTTCTTCAGGCAATACCTGTCATACAATATTTAAAAGCATTTTCTTCTTATCAGAAACATGTCTGTGGGGCACTTTTGAAATTTGGAACCAAAGTTGTACACTTTATGTGAGTTTTACACTATATATCTTGTCTCTGCTTGCATTTGTACCCAGGGGCTTTGGGGTGAGTCTGAGCCTATTTGGATGGCTCAGGACCAGGACATTAGGTCGAGATCAGAGAAGTTTTGGGAGGTGGAGAGACCCAAAAGAGAATGGTGGCTGTATCTGAGACATATTTAGGCTAATTCGGAATCTGAACTGGTCTGGGAGTTTCAAACCAGGGTTTTAAAACCCGCAAGTACTTTAGAAATAATTCATCCCTTGGTCTTTGACTTTAACAATGAGGAGACAGCCTTGCAAAGATAAATTTTATCTCTAGTGCTCACCCTAATCAATTAGTAATGGGGGCTAAGGCAATGTCTTGAGAAAAATTTTGAGATTTCAAGTGGATCAGCAGGAAAGAGTTCTGTCATGAATTATCTATGCCTGCCATGAACTTACAATAGGAAGTGGTGGCCTTACACAGCATGTCTTGCTATAATAATTATGGAAGATAGCATACCTCTCAGTTTTTTTTTTTGCTCACATCCAGGACTTTGGGGTTCTTAAAATATCACTCTAAGATTTTCAAAGTGATCATGTGGTCTGTGCACCAACTATTTGATAAAGACTTCTATAAAAACAACAACAACAACAACAACAATGGTGGCAATACTTTTTGGAGCTATTCATATCATATTAGCAAATTACTCCCACTTGTTCTACTTGCTGTTCAAATTATTTTTGTGGTTTATCAATTCTGTTTCCAGATATATTGCGGTACTCAGTCAAAAGTTCCCCAAGATTGAATTTAAGGAGCTTATTTCTCTCGTAGAAGATATTTCTTCCAACTATGAAGGATGCTGTGAAGGGGATGTTGTGCAGTGCATCCGTGACACGGTAAATATTCTCTAAAACCAAGTTAAAATAGTGATTTTTGGCAACTATTTTTTTTTTTTTTATTCTCAAGTTGCCCTGATGTGTGGTTACTTTGCCCCAGTGAAATCAGAATGTGATTTCACTTTTGAATGACAACATAAAATGAAATATAAATTTTTTTAAATAAATAAACCTTTGGGATTTTTTATATTTGGAATTTTTAAAGATTACTCAGCAGATTGTATATTGTATGGCTAAATGTCTTGACGTAAAACTTCAGGAATTTCAAATTTTTCAAAGTTCATTTAGTCTAGATTGAAGTTTTCTCTTACATTATAAATCCTCTTTTAGAGAGGTTAGAAGCAAATAGTAAAGTTCAAGGAATGACTAGTTATCATTATGTTTTTAAGAGCTGATTTCCCTGAGCTTCCTTAGGCTATTCAGGTATAGTCTTTCCAAATAAGCGAATACATTAATTTAACTTTTCCCTTTCTCTTTCGGTTCCCTTTTCCTACCTTCTTCCTTCCCTTTTCCTGTCCCCTCCTTTTCCCCTTTCCTTTCCTTCCACTTTCCCTTTCCTTTCCTGCCTTTGACAATTAAAAATCGTATATTCTCATGGTATACATGATATATATACGTGTGTACTGTATATATCATGATATATATGCATATATATTAATGTATACATACACACACATTGTGGAATGTCTAAATCCAACTATTTAAGATATGCATTACCTCACATACTTTTTTTTTTGTGGTGAGAATACTCCAAATCTTAGCAATTTTAAAGTACTCAATATAGTGGTATGAAGTCATCATTGAGTCACTATGATGTACAAGAGATCTCTTGAATGTATTCCTTCTGTCTAAATGAAATTTTGCGGCCTTTAACCAACATTTCCCCAATCCCCAGTTTCTGGAAACCTTTAAAGTGAATTTCCAAGGAAAAGTATTGGTACGAATATTGTTGGCATAGTTTGAATTGTTCATGCATTCTGTTCTCACTCATAAGTGGGCATTGAACAATGACAACACGTGGACACAGGGAGGGGAACAACATACACTGGGGCATGTTGGGTTGAGGTTGGGTGGTGAAGGGAGAGCATCAAAATAGCTCATGCATGCGGGGCTTCAAACCTAGGTGACGAGTTGATAAGTGCAGCAACCCACCATGGCACACGTATACCTATGTAACAAGCCTGCACATTCTGAACATCTGTACATGTATCCTGGAACTTAAAGTGAAAAAAAAATTGTTCATGCATTCAAAGGTAATATAATTTTATTAAAAAAAAAAACCTGAGTATGATAGCTTGCACCTGTAATTGCAGCCACTCAGGACTCAAGAAGCTAAGGAGGGAGGCTTGCTTGAGTCAGGAGTTCGAGGATACAGTACAGTGAGCTATAATTCCAACACCCTTGGCAATAGAATGAGACCTTATTTAAAAAAAAAAAGAAAGAAAGAAAAAGAAAGAAAAAAAAAAAGAAAGAAAGAAAAAGAAAGAAAGGAAAGAAAAAGGAAAGAAAGAAAGAAAGATTAGAATTTTAGGCTCACAGTGATGATAGCATGTCAATTCAATAACTTGAATTTTAGGGTATTGAGAAATGTTTATTTCAAGCAATGGACAACAGATGTTCCCAATAATTATTTTTGTTCCTAACTGTACCCAAGTTAAAGCAATCTCTTTTGTGCTTTATTTTTGTATTGCTTGATTGTTCATGGTGATGTAGGTTTTATAATGTGAAATCTAAGATACTGAATTCGGATATAATTATAGGTTTTCTGTGAAATTTGAGACTGAGATTAAGGGATTATGTCTCAAATTTCCTTCTTTTTAATGTCTTTCTGGAGAAATAAGAGGAACTGAATTACAGTTAACTGAAAATAGAAGTAACTTCTCAGAGAATAAGAGATACTCTACCTAGAACAATGATGGCATCACATGAGATGTAAATGTCTTTTTGAAGATTGGCTTCCTGGTTCTGTGTGGTTTGTTGGAAACGTGGTGCCAATGCCCATTTTATTTTTTACCTCAGTCCTGAGCTTCATCTTATTCCTTATCCTCCATGTTCACCAAAAGATTCCAGTCAGTGGAAATAGCTTGAGTAAAGTCATAAAGGCCTGAAATAGTCTAGTGTGTTGCTGTAACTCAACACAATTCAAGTGGGACTGCAACAGAGAGTGGAAATAATGTGCAGTCTCATTCCAGAGTCTGGAAGGGCCCAGATCAGCTTTTAAAAATTATTCAACTAATGTGTAAATAAGATAACCCCACCCTCTCCCTAATTCCCAACTCTTATGTAGAGGTTAGAACTGGGGCAAGGGGTAGGGATGGGGACACAGTAAAGTTTTCTATTTGAGCAGTATTTGCTAACTTGAACAGCTTCAAATGAATGATATCCATTAGAAAATGATACCATGAGTGGAATAGCTTCTTATATCTGATGAATCGTCTTCTGGTAGTTGCTGCAGTTCATTCGCTTGTCATTCTTTCATTCACTTATCAAATATTTACTGAGTTTTTGCCATGTGCTTAGCCACAAGGGAAGACCAGGATTATAGGTATTATAGTAACATGTCTTTGGTGGCCTCCACTGAAAGCACAGGTGGACTCTTATGGAAAAGAAACAACATTTAGAATATAGGATGTCAATATATCAGTGTAGGAAGGTTATTTAAAAGACTAATGCTTAATAATGGATGTGAACCTATAGTAGAGCCTATTTTTAAATAATTATGTCATCTTAAATCCTGAGAAGTTTTAATGTAAAACTTCATGTGCAATAAGTAAATCCAAAATTTAATTTAAATAAATATTATCTATCAAATTAATTGATGAAGTGATTCCAGATGCTGTGATCATGACTGGTTTTGCATGCCATCATTCCATAATGGAAGAAAACCCAGCCTTGAAGAAATTTTGAAAGTAAAATAATCTCTCATTCTTATTTGGTACAGAGCAAGGTTATGAACCATATTTGTTCAAAACAAGATTCTATCTCCAGCAAAATCAAAGAGTGCTGTGACAAGAAAATACCAGAGCGTGGCCAGTGCATAATTAACTCAAATAAAGATGATAGACCAAAGGATTTATCTCTAAGAGAAGCAAAATTTACTGACAGTGAAAATGTGTGTCAAGAACGAGATGCTGACCCAGACACCTTCTTTGTGAAGTAATATAACTCTTTATTGAATTTATAAGGAAAAGAGAAAGAAACTTGTAAGATTTGACTTATGTTGCTAATTTAGGTGGAAGGACATGGTACCATTTATTTCACTAGGTATCATATAATTTTTAAAAAATCCTGTGTATAGACTATAGTTTTCAGATAATTTTAAGAAAAAACAACTGTATTATTAAAATAATGGCTAGCGTTTGTTGAGCAGTTAATATGTGCCAGGCATGGCACTATATACCCCATACAGATTAACTATTTTAATTCTTACAGCAATCATGCAAAATAAGTACAATTTCTCCCAGTTTTTCAAATGAGCAAGCAGAGATCCAATGAAGTGAATTGTTCAGATTCACAACTAAAAAGTGACAGAGTAAGAATTTGACTCCAGGAAGCCTGGCCTAACAAGTTGCAGGCTTAACTGCTATACTATGCCACCTACAACTCTTAAGGGGAAGACTAGTGAACTTGGAGCCACAGGGACTATATTTCAGTTCTGGTTGAGTCGCTGGGAGAAGTTAACCTTTCTGAGCTTTTTTTTGGTCATGTATAAAATTCATATAAGAATACAAATTCATCTGTAATCCCAGCTACTCGGGAGGCTGAGGCAGAGAATTGCTTGAACCTGGGAGGCAGAGGTTGCTGTGAGCCGAGATCACGCCACTGCACTCTGCACTCCAGCCTGGGCGACAGAGTGAGACTGTCTAAAAAAAAAAATTATTAATTTGAAGTTTTTTAGTAATGTAATATAATCCAGGGACTTCACTGGTTGTTTTTTTTTTTTAAATCCCCAGGAAGCCTTCATCTATAGAGAGTATAAAGTGAGAAGAGACAGACATAAATAAATAAGTGTGAAAAATGTTCTTTTATTTCTGATAGCATCCTGTTCTAGGTAATGCAGGGGAACAGAAGAAGAAATGGTCAGTTGTATATGGGGACCGTGGAATGGCTTGATAGGGAAGTGGTACTTGAAGAAATTTTGGTAATCTAAATAGAGAAGGTAAAGCATGAATTAAAAATATAATGGTTTGGTGTAAATTGCTGTGAGTAGGGCATCTGCAGTGAGAGACCAGCAGGGTGAGAGGTAGGTGGGGCCAGATTATGCAGGCATGCTAAGAAATGGGATGCCACTGAATGGTTTTCATGAAAGAATAAGGAAGGAAAAAATCACTTTCAGTTTTTAGACACTTCATCTGGAGAAAATCCCAGTTTGGGACTTGGATAACTGGGTAGGTAGTTTTCCCATTCAACATGAAAAAGCAGCAGGTTTTGTGAGAAAGGTAATATGTTTAAGAATGAGCACATTGACTTTGAGGTGCCAGTAGAATAACTAATTGGGACTATCAGGAGATAATTTTGTATGTGAACCTGTAGCTCTAGAAGGGAATCTGGCTTGAAATCTCGGACATAACAACAGCCAATGTTTACTGAATACTTACTAAATTTTAAGTGCTCCTCATCTACTAACCAACCAGATTTTCAAAGCAACCCTCTGAGGTTAGTATACTTTTATAATCTTTATTTTTCAGGTAATAAAACAGGCACAGAGAGGTTAAGTAACTTACCCAAAGTCACACATGTGGTGCAGCCAGGATTCAAATGCAGGCAGTGTGGCTCCAAATTCCTGGTCTTATAACTACTGTCCTCTATGGCTTCTCACGGTTTTGGATATTACATCAAATTCAATTAAACAAAATGATAGATTGTATCTGACATATGTGTTTGATAGATAAAAGCCATTTTTATAATCATTACTATTATACATAAAAAGTGTTTGAAACATGGGAAGAAATGATAGAGTAACAGTGAGCACGCCAAGTCAGAGTCCTCACTGTTTTAAGGTAGAATCTTTCTGGATGTGAACATTTCAGGCAAGTCCTCAGTGGCTTCTCCATTCTAGAGTAAGCTTCCAGGGATTTTTCTTCGCAGCATTCTGAGACATGTTTTTAGTTGTGTGTGTGTGTGTGTGCGCGCGCGTGTGTGTGTGTGTGTGTGTGTCCCCCGAGAAGAAGTCCATGGCTTACATGAGATATTAAGAGGAGCCCTGATTCTCTGAAGGTTAAGCACCACTGCCGTGGGATATAGGAATGTATCCCACAAATGGAATTGGAAAAGCAAATGGGAAGCTGGAGAGATGGTGTCAGAAAAATCAAGATTAATCAAGAAGGTCAAATCCTGAAAAAAATGTGGGAGAGGGGATGAAAAGAGTTACCTGGTCATGAAAAACTAGTGAGGTATTGCTCTTACAAAACATGAAAGATCTTAACTTGCTGTGAATGAATAGATGAGATTCTTTTTTATGAAGACTATAAATAGCCCAGCTGAGGTACTTAGAAATGACATCTCTGTTTTGAGAAAAGTTAGCTTGGTTAAAAAAAGGAATGGAGTAATGGGACTTAGGGTCAAATTTCATATCTGCCATTAATAGGAAGGTGCTTAACCAGTTTGTGATTTAGTTTCTTCAGCTGTAAAATAGTATGCATCTTGAGGACTAAGTGAAGTGAAATGAGAAAGTGTTTATAAAGTTCAGGAAGCACATCTATATCTGTTATGCCCAAAGTTTGATCCAGTGCCTAGCACCTACTAAGGGCTTATTAACTGTTAGCCTTGTTCCTCTCTTTCTTCCCAAATCACACACACCTATGCTCTTGAAGTCTTTGACAGAGGATTTGGAAGCCACTGCCGGTGATTTGGAGCTGAAGGGGTAAACACGCCCATATTTGGCAAGCGACAGGATAGAGTAATGGGCAAAGCTTCCTCCCTGTCTCTCACGAAGACCACATTGTGGGTGGGAAGGAAGCCATATTCCCAGCATCCCAAGTTGGAAATCTGAATGCATTTTCAAACATAATTCTATGCAATATGTATTTTTTAAAAGTATATTCACAATATATTCTTTCTGATGTTTTATGGATTAAATCATTCCAATAATTAGTTCCAAATAACTCTACTAATTCTCTCTTCTCAAAAAAAATTGTTAATCTAAAATGTACCATGGAAGAGAACTTTTGTAAAATGATCTTCTATAGCCACAATGTCCTATTAAATTACTCTGTGACCAAGCCAGAGGAGAAAATTAGCTTTTGAAAGCAGAGGCAGTATTAGATCTGACTGGATTACAAAATAGTGGAATTGAGTTTTTTGCTCTTTCTCTAATTTCTAACATACAAAATTTTACACATTGCAGGTTTACTTTTGAATACTCAAGGAGACATCCAGACCTGTCTATACCAGGGCTTTTAAGAATTGTTCAAATATACAAAGATCTCCTGAGAAATTGCTGCAACACAGAAAACCCTCCAGGTTGTTACCGTTACGCGGTAGGTTCCATCGTTGTAGGTTCAGAAAATCAAAACAGAACAACTATAAAACACTTAAAAATTGATATCAGAATTTTGCTCCAGTCTAGGGGGTAGAAAATGTGATTGGTTAATCTGAGTCTACTGTAGACTCAGCCTAAGAAGATCATTGGGAAGGCCAATGTCATCAATTTGGCTGATGCATAATGTTTTGGACTACTAATCCAACGTGTTAATTCAAAAAATTCTTCCCAGTAAACATTTTAAATTTACATTTTCATTTATGTATTCTGTATTTTATTAAGCCATATTGGATATTACATGATTTCAAAAGTAATGATTGTTGTAGATGACTAGGAAAGTATTCTGTATTTTATTAAGCCATATTGGATTCTTTATGATTTCAAAAGTAATGATTGATTGTTGTTGATTATCAGGAAAGCACCAAAGGTTACAAAAAACCCTTTTCTGATTCTCCCACCCGGAAGTAGCTATAATTAACATTTTTATTCAACTCTTCAGTACATATACGTATATATACGTGTATTTTTTAAAAATTGGCATAATTTCTAGAAAATGTTTGGATGCTTTTTTTATTTGGTATCATAGGAAAGTTTTTTGTTGTTTTTGTTGTTATAAATTGGGCTTCCTTGGTTTCCTGCTATTGCCACAAAGTGAGAGGCTGTTGGAGGTTTTAAGTTCCAAATCTAAACAATGAAAAAAATCATAAAGAGCAACATGATTTAAAATGTTCTGTAACAACACTTACTAGCTAGGGCATTCGGGGTAAGTAACTTAATTTCACAAGGCCAGTTGCCTTTATTTAAAAATGGAGATAACAAATGCTCTGGCCACTTCAAAGTGAGAATTGAATGTTATTATGTCAACGTACAATTTAAATTCTATTTTGTTATTTGGAAGACTCTGAAATATGTACAAGCTGATAATAAAAAATTTGGACTTTTAAATTTAGCAAGACATTTATTTATATATATATAACTAAAGAAATTAAGTTCTTGCACACACATGTAAAAAGTGCCCTGAATAATAATGAGAGTTTGAAAATACCATAGAAATAAGAAATGCTATTCTACACATTGATGTAAAGCTTATGGCTAAATTTTAGATAAAATATTTGTAACCATGATTATTCTTATTTTCAGGAAGACAAATTCAATGAGACAACTGAGAAAAGTCTTAAGATGGTACAACAAGAATGTAAACATTTCCAGAATTTGGGGAAGGATGGTTTGACATACCAGTAGGTTGTCTGCACAAGTGGGCTAACGCTTGCCACTAGAATTAAACATATAATCCCTCAAAGTGTAAAAAAGTTACCTCTCAAGTTTTTCAATTATAGTCAATTCATAAACTCTTGGAAGAATTTTTTTTTTGAAGTCAAGAATGCCTATTGAACTGTCACATTAATCTTTTATCAGAAGTGAAGCTAAAAATAAAAGAAATACAGGATTCTGGAGACATTGATTCTCTAATGCTTTCGTTTCTGTTTGACATTGGCTTTCTCACTGTCAATCTAGAATCCCTGGATTCTCACCCATTTGAAAGTGGGACGTTGCATATTTCAGGTTGTTACAGTTTCTTTGGGGAAGAGATGGTTTGGCTTGCTTGCCTTAAGGTTATCTTAACTGAGTTTATAGAAATAACTCTGGATGTGCTTAATACTTTAATATTTAGTTTTTTAGTGCTCTTGTGAGCATTTGTGAATAATATGCAGTTTGGGTTTTTTTCAATTATTATGCCAATGTATTTTATTATCATTATTGTTATTGTTATTATTATTATTACCATATATTTTTGTGACAGGGTCTCTCTGTCACCCAGGCTGGAGTGCAGTGGTGTGATCCAGCTCACTGCAATCTCTGCCTCACAACTCAAGTGATCCTCCCATGTCAGTCTCCCAAATAGCTAGGGCTACAGATGCGAGCCACCATGCCTGGCTGATGTTTGTATTTTTTGGTAGAGACGGGGTTTTGCCATGTTGCACAGGCTGGTCTTGAACTTCTGAGCTCAAGCAATCCAACCCTTGGGAATTGCTGGGATTACAGGTGTGAGCCACTGCACCTGGCCTCATGCTAATGTATTATTTACTGAAACTAAACATCTTTAAATCAAAATAAGACACAGTTAAAAAAATCTGACTTTACTATTTCTACAATTTGGTGTTAGCTGACAATTCAAACTTAGTTCATTAAAAATCTTAGTTTCCTTCATCTCAGGTTATCCTTTTACAATATATATTGATTAAATTTTTTCTTTAAAATATTTTATAATGATACAAATGATTTTAAGGAGGATTTTAGATACTAGCCAATGTATTTGCTGTCAAGGAGCTCCTATACTCAAAGATAACACAGGGAGGCAAATCTAAGAGTTTCTGAGACATCCATGAAATTAGAAAAGAAGCTAAAATAGATATAGGGAGCAGGGTGCAGAAAAACAGGAAGTGAAGACATATTTCTCTATTTTACAAGAGAGCTAAGGTTCATGTTGCACCTATATTGGTTGTCCCTAGCCTTGAAGGGTCTGGGCTTCAGCAATAATTCAAGGCAAAATGGGTATCTGCTTTCGTTCAGAACCAAATAGACAAATGTTCTTTCAGGTACCTTATCAGACTCACGAAGATAGCTCCCCAGCTCTCCTCTGAAGAACTGGTCTCTCTTGGCAAGAAAATGGTGACAGCTTTCACTACTTGCTGCACACTGAGTGAAGAGTTTGCCTGTGTTGATAATTTGGTGAGCATGGCCTGTGTATCAGACTAGTCTTTAAAAAAAAAAAAAAGAATATTTGCACTCGTTGGTTTACCATGATTATCCATATTCATTTCTTCATTGTTTTTAATATTGTTAAGCATAAATTGTCAAGTTTTCCTTTTGGCTCACTTTGTTAAAACCCTGAGAAGTAAAAGAGAATGCCTTAAATATTTTTGGAGAGTGCTTCAAAGTATCTTTCTTATTTCTTCATTGTATTAGAAGGGATTTGTTAGGACAAATGATTTAGGAATCATAATATTGTTTCAAAGAGATACAGGAAAATTTATAATTTTAAGTAAGGTACAGATTCTTCCTCTTGGCCCAATTGCTTCATCCAGCAACCAGGCATTGAATACATCTCTTTAGGGCTGGGGTGGAGAGTACCTTGAGGGAGATTCCGGGAGGGGAAGAAACCCAAGGATTACAGTATTTGATTGTCCCTTTCAGTTGGCTGTTTGCAGCTGTCTGTTTGCAATTGAAAGTTTGTTTATATGTTACCAACAAATTAATTTGTAGGCATCTGAATTGTTATGGCTTGGATTTTTGTCATAATGCCATTTAGGACCCCATTTTCTACTTTTATTTGTGCATAGTGATATGTCATGAGTGCGTGTGTTTTATGAGTGAGGTTAACAGTGATCTTAGAATGATCTAACTATTCATCTAACCATATTTTTAGAAATTCCATCCGAGTTTTAAGATCATATCTGAGTTGCAACTCTTGTTGGTACAGGCAGATTTAGTTCTTGGAGAGTTATGTGGAGTAAATGAAAATCGAACTATCAACCCTGCTGTGGACCACTGTTGTAAAACAAACTTTGCCTTCAGAAGGCCCTGCTTTGAGAGTTTGAAAGCTGATAAAACATATGTGCCTCCACCTTTCTCTCAAGATTTATTTACCTTTCATGCAGACATGTGTCAATCTCAGAATGAGGAGCTTCAGAGGAAGACAGACAGGTACAAACAATCCCTTCCATTCCTGTTTTTCTTCAGTTTGCAGACACACCATGTAGTAGTGAGAAGGTTTATGTAGTGGATATGTGTTTTTCATATTACTATCCTGTTCCTTCCACCAAATTGTCCAGTCTCTTCTATTTGGAAAAATACCAGTGCATTTTTTTTTTTTTTTTTTTTGCCATTGTTCATATCTAGCTTATCTTTTCATTTGAAAGAGACTTGGAGTGTCCAAGTCTAACATCACCTTTAAAGAGGTTACAGCAGCCAGCCAAAAGGTTCATAGACTGGCTGATAATGAATTTCATTTCCTTGAGAGAATGTCCGGAGAATATCACTTAATGTTTACAAAGGAGAGGCCCAAAGGGACAGGAAGTTTACTTTCATTTTCTCAACAAATGCTTTAAAATGCCAAGAAATTAAACTTAGCTTTCTGGATTCAAACAGAGTCTACCTAATGTGTAGTGGAGACTACACAATATACAGCTACCAAATATGAGGAACTGGAGGTTGTTTTGGACATGAATTTTCTAGAAAGATCAGATGTAGTCATGTATACCATAATACTTGGCATAATAAAGGCCTACTATATGTTTTCATTTTTAGATAGAATAATACTTACTCTTATTATGTGCAATATTCATACATTCACAGTGTAATTCACTCTTGTATTTTCCAGCCCATTCTATTCTAGTCTGGTCTATTTTATTCTTTTTAACTATCCTGTTTTCATTTTAAAAATGAAAGTGAGAAAATGCAAACTTTTGTTAATTCTTGGATCTAAGGACGGGCACACGTGACTTATTACATTATCCTCTTTACTTTGGTGCATGAAAATTTTATTACTTAAAATAATTACTCTAAAAATTTACTCTAAAATGTACTTTTAAGACATCAATGGGTTGCCACCTGAAGTTTGGAATTCTATAAGTTAGTGGAATACTGAAATTCTAGAAGTTACTAGAAATTAAGGAAATCACTATTGTCTATGGCTGTTGTCACACTTAGTTGTGATAGCTTATTTTTTTTAATTGCTCCTTTGACATCATTTTTTAACTGGCATATAATAGTTATACATATTTTGGGGGTACATGTAATATTTTGATAACTGCATAAACATGTAATGATCAAGTCAGGGTAATTGGAATATCCATAATCTAAAACATTTATCTTTTCTTTGTTTTGGGAACATTATAATTCTTCTCTTCTAGCTACTTTGAAATATACAATAAATTACTGTTAACTATAATTTTCCTACTATACTATTAAACACTAGAACTTATTACTTCTAACTGTATTTTTGTACCCCTTAACCAACTTCTCTTCGTCCCTCTCTTCCTCCTTGTTAATACTTTTTGTATAATTTTGTGTGTGACAAAACCCTTCAAAGAATGTTACTGTGGAAACATTCTCTAAATTTAATAGGAAAGTTTCAGAAGGCCCATTCAAAGTGGGATATTTCAACTCTTTACCCTCACCCAAGCTGAGACTCAAGACGTGATTCCGTAACAAGCATTTTGGAGTAGAGACGCTTCAGAAAGAAATTGTTAATTAATTCTATTTGACATCTTTTGGACACAGGTTTCTTGTCAACGTAGTGAAGCTGAAGCATGAACTCACAGATGAGGAGCTGCAGTCTTTGTTTACAAATTTCACAAATGCAGTGGAGAAGTGCTGCAAAGCAGAGAGTCCTGAAGTCTGCTTTAATGAAGAGGTAGTTTTATTTCTTTTCTACTGAAATTCAACTGGTATTCCTGGTCAAATAAAACCAGACAGAACCCTGTAGGACTCTGCTTCCTCTCTGCAGTGTCTACCAGGACTACATTTGAGAGCACAATTGCTACACAACTAATATGGAGACATCTCTGAAATACACTTTGAGCAGTGTCTCCCTAGCACAGAAAAGCTATTAGGAAGACCTGGGTTGTAACCCCGGCAGTCTTGTAAGTCATGCAACTTAAACTGAATGGCAGTTAACGATCTGTAAATGAAGATGGTAATAATTATTCCTGAATTACACCTTTGGTTCTTATTTTTTGGTTTTGAACCACTCATTATCTTAATAAGACAGAGTCAAAGCGACTTGCAAAGGAAATCATAAGCAACTCCAAATGGAGTGGAGCAGGAATGGTATTAGAACGTGAAATCTTTCAGGAATGGCTCTCTCACTTTCCCAGGCCTTGTACTAACACCCTGCAGTTGAGAATAATGAGGGAGTGGAGGGTAAGGGTAGTCAGGGAGAAAAGGGAGAAATGTCCCTTGCTTGCCCTCACTCCAGTGAAGGTAGTCTGTAGCCATTTGCTCTGGTGTGAACCTCAGCAACCTGTGAATGTTAGCCCCAATGGATGGCTCCATGGAAATACCTGTTCACTGTTTTCCAACTTTATTTCTCACCGTTTCTTTTCTAGGAACGCTCACTCCACTCCAAACTCACAATTCATGTAAATTCACAGGCACACAGACTCACATGCATCATTCATTCTGGTTGTGAGCCATCTACTTTTCTGAGTGACACTTAGTTCGTGGAAATTGTTTTGGGGGTACATATTATTAGTTTTTTAAAAAATATATTAATTTTAAGTAGACGATATTAATCAGTATCTAGCATTTATCTGAGTGTGTACATTAGTGCCATGTGAAGGAAAGGATGAATTTATTGGCAGTTGTAAAGAGCCATTTGGTGTCTATTTCTTCACTAGAAGAAAGAATGTTTACTGTTTCCCTAAACAATGTAGGAATGATTTAATTTTCTTCAAAATTCAGGGAAACATGCTTATCTAAATTTAAATTAGTGTCTTAAATTTTTCTTCCTATGTGTTTTTATTTCCATCCTTCACCTCAGAGTCCAAAAATTGGCAACTGAAGTCAGCTGCTGGAGATATGTAAAGTAAAAAGCACCAAAGGTAATACCCTCTGCCTCAATCAAATGTCAAATGTATTTGTGGTTTATTTGGTCTCCCTACCTTTTCTCCCTCACGCTTCATTGCCTATTTCTGGTTCACCCTACATGAACCAGAAATAGACATGTAGCTAACAGACCTCGATACTGTTTCTGTGTTTTTCTGGGTATCAGCCACTCCTTACAGTGTGGCAATGCTGCATTTGTGCTAGCCCTTCTCTTGCTGTTCAACTAGTTTTCTAGATAGCCAAGAGGCGCTTAAGTCCTCTGCTTTCCTACTAAGGTATTCAGTTGTCCGGACCACAAAAGAGAGATGATGGAACCTCTGAATGTTGACAGAAAGAAGAGGGGTAACTCCCTGGGGACTGAGGTGGGCAGACAGGCTTCAGTGACCCTTTCCGATGATCTTTTAAGAACGTTGCTTTACTGAGATATGATTGACATACAAACTAAGGGTATTGCTACAGCATTTACATAAACAAAAAGTGATGTTTGTGATTTCCAAAGGATATATAAAGATGCCCTCTCTTTTGTGGCTTATGTAAGACTTGAAACACAAACTTTAGCAACAAAATGTTGCATAGATGTAGGAATTATATACAGTGTCAGTGAAGAGAGGCCTGGACCTCAACAGAAGGTAGGTGGGGATCTACAAGGGGCAAAACACAGTTACCTTTAGTAGTTTTTTCAAATATTTGACTTTCTATCACCCATGTTTTAACATTTCATATTTTTTTGATGCATGAAATACTATTTTTTCTTTCCAGGGATAACCAACTTACAGGCTTCCTATCTGTGTGGTGATGAATCTCATTTCCTGAGAACAAAGTAAAAGGATTTTTCTGCAACTGTCGCCTGAAATCGTATATTGCAGCAAGCAATAAACACAAAATTTTGTAAAGTTATTTTTCAGACTGATGTCATAAATCAACCTAATCACAAAATTAAGCAATCATGATTCATTCATTCCATCAGCATCTTTTGCTCATATGGCTGCACCATTCCCTACTCCATGAAAGTTGGAAGTCTATGCTCTCAGATGTCCTTGCCACGACCGGAAAGAAAACTGAGAATTTGGGGCATGAAACTTTACTGCTACAACTACTGCTACTACTAGTAGATGACATTGAATGTTTTCAATGTACCAAACATTGTTCTAGCCAGTTTTCATGCATTATTTCATATAATCTAATAACTCTATGAGTAGGTATTATTTTCATTTACATTTTACAAACAGGAAATCTAAGGCTTGGGGAGATAAACTAATGTGTTCAATGTGATATGACTGGTAATTGGCAGAACCAGGGTTTGAATTTAGGTTCTCTAATTCTAGAATTTTATATATATATGATATACATGTATGTATGTATATAACATATACATTATATATTATGTAATAATAATGCAATATATTATATAATACTATATAATGTATTACATTACTATAATATATTATACATATCTAACATATTATATAACACATAACATAATATATAGTTCTAGAATTATATATATTATATGTTTAATAATTTCAACTTTTATTTTAGATATAGAGGGTGCATGCACATGTTTGTTACACATGTATATTGCATGATGCTGAGGTTTGGAGTATAGATCCCATCACCCAAGTAGCAAGCATAGCACTCAATAGGTAGTTTTTCAACCCATACCCCTCTCCCTCCCACCCCTCTGTAGTAGTCCCTAGTGTCTATTGTTCCTGTCTTTATGTCCCTGTGTACTCAATGTTTAGCTCCCACGGTATTTGGTTTGAAGTTGGGTAGTGTGATGCCTCCAGCTTTGTGGAACAATATTGTTAACCATTGCATACACTACCTCTTAGGTGTGGCCATGTTGCATGCCTTACAAAATCTGTTATTCAGAGAGGCGGAAGAATGTACAAGGCAACAATTACAGTGGTGGTTTTCTCCCTCCATTCCAAGCCAAAATTCTTGTTATGTTAGTGATATAAACGCTTGATATTGGTATCAAAGGAGAAGTAACTCAGGAAATGAAGACTGGTCATGAACTTATGGCCTGGCTCTCCTGATGTTTCTCTAAACTTTGAAGATTTTTGTATACCAAGGTCTAAATTTGAAGATGATGGACATTTAATACATAATACATGAGGATATTCATAGAGTTCTTTTGGTAGAGTGTTTAAAGCATAGTCTTTGGGATTCTCATTGATTTATTCAACAAATATTTATTAGAATTCTATTGTGTGTCAGACATTGTGGATACAAATATGAGCTAGATAGACTTGGCTTCTGTTTCTTGCTGAGCAAGGGACAGGGACAATAAACACTCAATCACATTTCAATGTCATACGTGCAGGGTCCAGGCACTCACTCTAAGCTGAAGGTGCAGAATGAGAAAGGGATGGGGGTGGGTGCTACATATCCCTACTGCCATTAATTTACTGTACAGTCCCAGATAAGTTCCTTATACTCTATGACATCCATTTCTTTATGTAGGATGGGCTAATATCAAGTCACAAAGGCTTTAGAGAAATGGATTAAATTACTATATAAAGTACTTAACACATTGGCCAGCAGATAACAGGTTTTTAACTCATAGAGCTATTTTGTCCTCTGACCATTTTCTCCAAGCAATCTCATTTACCAATGAGGATAACAAGGAAGTATTGCCTTACTTAAACAATAGATAGTAGATTTAGAAAACGGAAGTGAAATAAAGCATAATTAGTGAATCTAATTTTATACTGGATTCTGCTATGTATTCAATACTGTGCGAAGAGAAGCAGATACAAAATCAGGGACCCAGGCACTTGCCGCCATCATAAAGTTTCTATTATGGCAGCGGAAACTGCCATACAACTCTTTCTCTACTGACATGCCAGAAAACATATTAATCAAAGCAGGAAAGGAGGGAGAAGAATGGCTTCTGCAAAAGACACAGTTGCCTGAAGAGGAGGAGATTTGGTGTGGGTATGAAATAGTCTTACTCTGTATTACTTGGACAGAACTCATACCAATGAAGAGAACATAACTGGTTTGATGCAGAAAAAAATTTTCTAACACTAGAGATGCTTACACATGTGATAAGCCTCCTGGTGCAATACTCAATGCCAAGACTGCATGTGCCTGAGCAGCTACCACCTGGGTTTTTGGTTGGATCCAGTCATGGTCTTTCTAAGGCCTCTTTGAACTCTGTTTCTATGACCTGGACAAGAATTAAGTCTTCTATGAAAATAGTGTTTATTAAAAATCATCACTGCATCTTGTACTTGCATACCTTCAATATTTTATCTTAAAGGCCAGCCTAAAGACTTTACTTTCTTCTAGAGCCAATTCTGTGCTGGTGTCTATTGAGTGGTATCACAAAACCTATCTCACTACCTTTACTTAAATAATCCTTGCTACTTGTCTTTCCTGTGGTCTGGAATTCTACCACTAGTTACTGATAAAGGACTTAACATTTTAAATATTGTCAATAATCTCTTATTAATTGCAAATGTCTCTGAAGAAAGGTTCCCATGGAAAGTTAATTTTGGTCAGTTATTTTTTTAAGGAGGAATTAGTTTAGCACACATAACAGTTGTTAAAATATTTTTAGCATTAATTCCAATCGACTGATAGTGGCTGTCCTGCAGCATTGTGCTGTCAGTGTTTCTAAGACTGAGCCTAAGCTCAGAGAGAAAGAGTGCAGTGATCAGATAGCAGTGTCTGCAGTGGGTGGCAGTCTTGGAGTATTCATCAAAAGGATTTGATAAAAAATTGGATTTGGTTTAATAGGTGCATATCTGATAGTTCTAGGAAGTTTAGAGTAAGATTTCAAGGGAACAACTCTAAGGATACATGACAATAGAGACAGTGAATGTTAAGACTGTTTAGAGGACTTCAAAATGAATGATGGAGACCTGCCAAAGATAGTTTTCCCCTTGCTGATCTTGGTGAGCTTTCTATCACCCTGGGTCATTCATATTCTTTACAATAAGCCAAAGAGTCCCAAAACTACATAATAGCAGATGTTTTGGGGTTGTTTTTCAGTCAAATACATCTCTCTTACTTGTGATATATTTTTGCTTAGAAAACTGGTATTGAAAATATGTGAGTAGCAGAATCAAGTAATATACTGTCAGCCTTAGAGCTTATTTGATCCAAACCTTCCATTTAAAAATGAGGAAATTGAAAAGAGAATAGTGAAAGTAATAACCCATGATGTCCCATTTTCAAAATTTTAGACTTTACATGTATAGGCATCTTACAATTTTAATTTAGTAAGTAATTACCTGTTTCCTGCCTTAGACTCAAGAATTGGTTGATAGGCAAAGCAGACAATAGCTGAGGGATACTGGTATCTCAGCATTAACACTAGCTCTTGGGTGTGTGGGCTGTAAAATCAGACAGATATGAATTTTTACCTGTGAGTCTATGAACAAATTATGTGACTCTCAGTCTTAATTTCTCATTCAAGAAATACTAATATTGCCAACTATCTGAGAGTCATATAAAGTGACCATAGTAAGTGTTCAATAAATTAGGTCCCATTCTTTTAGGTTCACTCCCAATGCTTGTACGGCTCTTAACTCCCCTTCTCCCCAGGGACTTGAAAGTGTACCCAGCATTAGAACCTGAGCCCTGACCAGTTAGTCAATCTGTGGTAGTATATGTTTATCTTCTTCCCTTCCACTTTAGAACTTTGGACATGTCAACAATCATTTCTAAGAAATGAGGTATTGCAGACCAACATTTGCCAAGAGTGTTTATGGATTACTTAATTACAAAGTCTACATGTTGAAATCTTAAAGAAACAAGCAGACTGACGTGACTTGTTTAAAAATGCAGTATTCATTAATGAATTCAGTCCATCAACAATATTTCTTCAGTGTCATAGATTTCCTCGATTTTACCGAGGTCATAGATGCTTGGAAAAAATATTCAGCAGAAAAAGGTTTCTTTTTAATAGTAATTACTTGAAAAGAATATAAAGTTCTTCATTTCTCTCAAATGATAGAACACTTTTCATAAAGGTTCTCCGGAAATAATGAAGACTGCTAAATCCACATCTTTTCTGGTTTTCTTCAGCTACATTAAATGTCAATCTCTTTAGAGAAGTTTACTAGATGCAGGTGGAAAATCCTATTTACAATTTACATATTCCAGGTATAAGGATAAGATAAGAAAGGCACAATAACTTCTAAAGTGTACATGGGAAGGCTTATCTTTTTCAGAGGTCGTTACTGTAAATAGAACCATTGAAAATTGCAAGACATTAATTTGTGGAGTGAATATACAGAGAGAGCTGATATATTGAAGCAATACACACAGGAATATTCCACTTTAGTCTCACTTCACCTCTAGGTAAGAGAATGTTCTATTTGAAACTTATATTTAGAATTGAATAAGCAGTTTTAGACAAAGCAGTGCTTTGAATAATAGCAGAAGTAATATTATGAGCTACATTATTCAGTACCTGTTATGTGCCAGGCCCTGTGCTCAGTACTTCATACATATGCTTTCTTGTTTTATTTTCTTATTTTTAAATTTTATTTTTAGAAACAGGGTCCTGCTCTATTATCCAGGCTAGAATGCAGTGGTATGATCATTCATACCACTTTGACCTCCTGGGCTCAAGTGATCCTCCTGCATTAACCTTCTGAGTCAGTAGGACTACAGGGGCCTAACCCTGTACCTGAGGAGTTTTTCATTTTTTGTAGAGAGAAGTCTAATTATATTGCCTAGGCTGGTCTGAAACTCCTGGCCTCAAGTCTTGGCATCCTGGCCTCCTGCACTGGCACCCTAAAGTGCCAGGATTACAGGCATGAGCCATCATGCCCAGCCCATATATGCTTTCATGTAATCTTAACCACCACCCAATATACTAGAACTTATTTAAATTTTATAGCCAGAGAAACAGAAACTCAGAAAGCTTAAATTATTTT